AAAAAAAAAAAAAAACACCAAAACACCAAAACACCAAAAAAACAAAAACAAAAACAAAATCAGAATTTTATGCATTTGAGAATTTAGTGATATAGGACCCTATAATTCTACTATTATGGCTAAGACCATATATGACTTTATTTCAAAGGTTTTCCCTTTTTAGCTTTCAAACATATTTCCCTTTCTTCTCAATAGTTTTCTGAAAGAATCATTTCCTTCAATCCAATCTTGCCTCTGTTCTCTTTGTTGTCTCATTACAACCAGCCTAGATTGGGGGCTTCTCAGAATTTTGACATAAATTTTTGTCCAAGGACAAAGCATGAGTCTTTCTAGAGCCCTGTCCTAAACTGAGAATTTTAAGGAAGTTAAAAAATAATTATTCCATTGATGAACATTAGTTATTAATGCCTGGTGCAAATAAAGACATAAAGTGATATTTCTGAGACAAATCACCCCTATAAAAACAGGGAAATTGGAAAATGACTTTTTATAGAATAAGAGTTTAATATTTTGACCTAGAATTGGAATTCTCCCCTAAAGACAATAGAGCTGTAATTAGTATATGTAGGAATTGTTATGAGATATGCTTTGGAATTTGAACTGTTACTGTTGTCTCATTCCCAGAGACCAAGGATTCTGAAACACACATGAATTGATCCAATTTACACATCCAATGAAGAGAGGAAAGGGGCAAAAAAATAGTTCCTGCTTAATAAGGGAAATTCTGAAATCCTGTCATGGTCTAAGTTATACATGCTAATAAAATGATCCAGAAAAACCCCGCTGACTATGGGATTCTTCCAATCTCAACTAAATTTCTTCTTTTTTCTGGATTTCTTAAGCTTTTAGCTATTAGGCTAAGGTTAGGTATGAAAGAAAAGATGTTATGCAATTGAGGGCAGTAAAAAAAAATCGTCTTTCTTTGACACAAATAGGTGTGGTTTTGGTGTTAGTTCTCTTTTTCTCTAGGAGTGAGCATTGATTTTCCTTGGGAATTGTAGACAAAGGCATTAGCTTAACATGTACTTCATTCTGAAACAATGTTTGGATAGTAATTGCCTCAGTGCTTCCAGGAGAAAATTAGGCCCCATCTATAGGCTTTTTTTTTCCTCTGTTTGTCTTGTTAAAAGTGATTTATTGAAAAGCCTTCAGTTTGGATCTTGAATGTTCCCCAAAGGCCCGTGTACTAATGGCTTGGTCCTGGCGGGAAGGTAGTAGAGCCTTTAAGAGGTGGGCCTTAGAGGAAGGAAGTGAGGTTATTGTGGGCATGCTCTTGGAGTAGGGCCCTTTTTCTTCCTCCTCTTTTATTCCTGGCTCTCATATGCAGCTTCTTCTGCCGTGCACTCCTATTAGAATGTGCTGCCTTGTCACAAGCCCGGAAGGGGACCAGATGACCATTGACTAGAGCCTCCCAAACTGTGAGCCAAAATAAAGCTTTTCTCTTTTCATGTTGATTTTGTCAAGAATTTTATAATATGCTCTCATTGATAATCCAACCTTAAGTAGGACGTACTGGTTTAATCTCTTTTATGGAACCCATGTTGAAGCAATGTTACATTTGAAGTTTCTTCTTAGCCAACTCTGTCTTAGCAATAAACCAATACAAAGAAGGCAAGCATCATGGAGGCAACTGTAGTTCACCTGTTTTTCCCTTCTTTACAAGAGACATTTTGGAGCTTTGGAAAGTATCCTTTCAGGTACTTAATAGCACTAATATTGAAAATATATTAAAATGGTAAAATTAATTCTGTATAAATTTTTTTGTTTTTGTTGTTTGAGACAGGGTCTTGCTACGTAGGTCAGGCTGATCTTGAACTCACTATGTAGCTCACGCTGGTCTTGAACCCACAGTGATCCTTCTGGCTCAGCCTCTCCTGGCTTGTATAAAATTTTGATAACAAAAAAATGTGTCTCTCCTAAGGCCCTTAAACTCCTTGCCTAAAGGCAAATACAGTTAACTGCTAAGTATTTTCTTTCAAAAAACTTCACATATATATATAAAAGTGTAGGCTTTTAAAAAATGATTATGAACACATGGAAATAATACTTTTTTTTTTACAGTCCATTATGATCTCTGCTTCCTAGGGTAATTTTGTGGAAACTGATATTGCCTAATTAAGAGGTTTTGATTTTCAAAAGCACATTGATGGAACGTTAGACTAGGATGGGAATAAATGACTAGTTGGGGTAATATTTGGATTGTGACAAAACAACTGGTTGAGTTCATTAATATCAACCACCTGCTATCAATTCAATGAAAAAGAAACCAACTAGAAGACGAAATGATAAGTCAAATTGGTTCAAAGGGTTATTCTGGAACCTTAGAGTAGTCAGAGCTTATTTTGGCCATAAAAGGGGCTATGTTATACAACCCTTAAATTTATATCTTTCCAAAGACATCATGTAGGTTTTGAATACATCAATGAGTCCACCTAACAGATGAGTGAGTGACTCCAAGTCATTAATTTAAAAAAATCCATACTTTCAAATTAGTATCATTGTGACCCTAAAAACATTCATCTTATAATTTTTTTCTATTTCAAAGTTGTTTACCAGTGTCCCAGAGTAGTATTTCCACTAGTTATGTTGAAAGAAACAATATACACACCATCTAATTTCTGGAGGAAGTGGCAGTTTAGATTGAAGCACGAATGTCCCAAACTCTTGGCTTGGACATCTGCTGAGGATGCAATGGGGAGACTTCCTGAGAGCCACCTTGGGAGCGCTCTGATAGACACTGCTCGTTCTGTGATCTCAGGGCCGGAGGTGCTCTCTTGTGCTCCAGTCGACCCAGGGCAGAACCACAGATGGAATTGCTGAGACATCAGGGAGGCAGTCTGCTGACCACAACTTGTACACATGTGTGTGTGATAATGGAGATTGAACCCAGGCCTTGTGTGTGCGAGGCAAATGCTCTACCACTGGAGTCAATTTGGATCGTGTCCAAATTGCCGTCATAAAATTGACAGGCTGCTTTTTTTTAAAAAAAAAACTTGTCAGAAACACATCTACTTAAGAACTTGCACTGTGTGATATACTGATTAGCATTCTGGTTTTAGGAAGGCTAGTTCCAACAGCAGCTGTACAGACATCCATCCCTGTACCGTTTAGTAAAAAGCAGTATCTTGGCTGGGACATTTCAGATACATGCACTGTACTTGTTTGTGTTAGTTTTCTGGAAAATAATTGGCAACCAGAAAATAGCAAAAATGTATGGGAGTAAGTAAAATTTATGCCCTAATAGACTCACAATAGGCAAACTTCTAAATCTCCATGATACGTTAAATTTTACTTCATGCCCAACGCCGTAAAGCTAAACTTGTTCTTTAAGCTGCTGCACAGTGAAAGTGCTCATTAATAGCATAGTTCAGTCTAGGCTGAGATAAGATTGCTAGTTCTCAGTTTTGGCTGTATATAAGAATTATTTAGGGAGCTCTAAAAAATTCTAGCACCTGGGCCATGACCCCAGACCAATGCTTATCAACCAGACATAATTCTGTGTTCCCAGGGGACCCTTGACAATGTCTGAAATATTTTTCATTACTACAACTACTAGGGGATTTGAGATAGAGGCTGGGCATGCTGCTAACCATCTTGCAGTGCACAGGCCAGTCCCCCAGGCAATAATCCTCCAACTCAAAATGTTCATGGTGCGGAGACCAAAAATCTGCTTTCTGGACCAATTTAAATCAGAACCTTTGCAGTTGGGACACAAGCATCAGTAGTTTCCACAGCTTCCTAGGCCATTCCAGTAGACAGCCTAGGCTGCCAGCCATTGCCCGGAACAGTGTGGTTCTCAAGATTGAGCAGTGTCAGTCATCTATGGCACTCTCTGAAACACAGAGTACATCCCCAGCAGCTCTAGGGTGGGGTCTGAGAATTTGCATTTCTAACAAATTCACAGCTGGTGCTGTTGCTTCTGGTTCACCAACCACACTTTGAGAGCCACTATTCTAAAGGTCCCAGGATCAGCAAATATGACAGCTGACAGCCAGAGAATAGAGGATGAACAGAAAAATGTATACAGTTCAGCCACAAGAAAGAAAACAATCTCAATTCTCCGGGGCTTGCCTCTCGTTTCCTTTACATGCCAGTAGTCCCTGGAGATGCGAGTGCACGAAAGGACAGTCCAACAGCAGCTGCACTAGCGTCTTGGGCCTCACCGTCCTGACTGCTTGTTCTTCCCTCATATTCAGGATAGGTCGTAAACTCCTGAGGTTTAGGTTCTGGTATAAGATTTACCTGTTGCGATGTGAGCCACTGCAGGCCTGGGATTCAGTATTAGCAAAACGGAGGTGGCTCTCGGGCTTGAACAACAGTAGGATGACCATCCGGGAAGCTCAAGCCGAACAGAGCAAGCGAGGGTTCTACAAACTGGATGCCCACCACACAAGTGTTGGCTATCTTGATTGCTCTAATTTATGATCATAAAACATATCATTTTTGCATGATTTAATAAAAAAGTATAATGTAAAGGAATTTTTCCTGCTTTTATCCCTTCCACATGTTATGCTCTGCTACTTAAACCCATTACTGAGGCATGATTTTTGTTATTGTTATGGCATCTTAAAATGGTACAAATAAAACTAGTGGCACTTTTTCCTTTGTGCTAACTTCCTTCCACTGCCTTGATGAAGTGGTTTTCTTCCTCCCCTTCATCTCGTTCCACCCGTCCTAGAAAGGAAGGGGGATTTATGATGACAGTCTGTAGTAGCTGAAAGCTTCGTAGTTAATAAAATGTGTTTCTCCTCTCAACATGAATTATTGCAGAGTTCCTTAGAATTGTACACGATTGACCAGGTACACCTTCAAAAAGTGTGGTTCTAACATTTCATTATTTTTTTCTCATGGAGGGACTGGGATGCAGGCGCTGGTACATAGTTGCATCAGAAGTAAGCAAAAACATCTTCAGACCTCACAGACCTAGAGATTACAAAGCCTATGATGCCTGGATATGGCTTTAACTAGAACATTCTTGCTGGCTATTGCAAATCTCAAATCAGATACTATAAAATAAATCACTTTGCATGACGAGAACAGTTTTTACTCTTCCATATGCTTTAATTGCTTCAGGGTTGAGGCAGAGCTTTCATGAAAATTTAATAAAAACCGTGGCTCCTACGCTACCCAGACCCTCTCTCCCTTGTCATGCTCTTGCAACTTGACCATGCCAAGAATTCGGAGTGTATGAAAAATTCAGAGCAGAGCAATAGTTCCATAAATTTTCCCAGTGGGCCCTAGATTCCCTCAGTGACCTACAGGATGGGGAAACCGCCCTATTAATTAAAGCCAGTGACTTGGCACAGGAGTTAAGAGTGTGGCCTGAAGCTGGACTTATCAGATTTGGACTAAACCTGAGCTTCTCTATCTTCCTGACTTGTGATCTCTGCATGGTGATTCACCTCTCTGCTCTAGGACCTAGGGTCCTCGTCTATAAAATGATGATAGTAATGGCCCTCAGAGGATTACTGTGGACCACAGAAGAGGCGATCCATTAAAGGAATTAGTAAAAGAAAAATTCCAGAAATGTGAGCCATAACCACTGATGGCCTATGGTGATCAAGCTCTACCTTCTGCCTCATTTTTCTAATGACATGGTGTATTCGTTCTGTCACTCTGATATAAAATTTGAGGTAATCAAATTATAAATAGGAATGGCTTATTTTGCCTCTTGATTTCTGTCCGCGGTTGCTTGACCTCATTGCCTTTGAGTCTACGGCATCACAATAGACCATTGGTTGATACGAAATGATTTACTATATACAAAATACCTAGAACAAGGTGTGGCCCATAGAAAATCATAAGTGTTGATTTCTGTAAGCATAGATTCTGAAGATTGCTTCTCACTACTCTGGACTTAGACTGGACAATGTGGAATTGTTGCTAATATTTGCTACCTTCATCTTTCACTATGGAACATTCAGTGTTTCAATTTTTGCTGGTGTCTTAAACTGGTAGACTCGAAAATATATAGATGCTAATAAAATCAAGGTAGGAGAGAAGACAAGGGAGATGGAGAGAGAGAGGAAGGGAGGCAGGGAGGGAGAGAGGAATTTTTTAAAATCAGAGTTTCAGAGCCATGGAATTTTTTTTTTTTTCCTTAGAAGAAAGGCTTGTTTGCTCATGATATGGGCTTCTCATCTCTGAGAATCAGTTGAAGTTTGGAACTCAGTGGAATATTTCTTTTAAATAACTTTCTTGGCTGTTAAGAATATTAATCTAGATGCAAAGGACTTGAGACTCTTATTTAGCATGCAAGCATAGAACCAAAGGGTCATTGGCCAGAAAGAATAAAGTTTTAAAGCAGAAAATTAGGTATCCCCAATATTGAACTTACATTCATCAATGCTGAAAAAAGCATTATAATACTTTTATTATAATTTTATAATGCTGAAAATACTTAAAACTTTAGTTCATAAGAGAAAATTGATTTATATTAATAAGAAAGAACCTTGCCTTCTCCTGAATGGAGAAAGATTTCACATGCATGTTGTGAGTGGGATCCTACACATTTTAACAAAGTGCAAGCAGAGTCCATACTCTGTGAGTGATCCCAAAACTCTAAAATCTAATGAAAATGATTTATTTCCAGTCTCTATATTAGGACACAGTGGTGCTCATTCAAAAGAAGCAAGCCAAAAAAAATACAAGGCAGAATAAACCAAAACAAAACAAATGAGCAGATTCCCCATCATGTAGATATAGGTAGTAGTCCCCTTTCAATTATCAGTGATCAATAGGAAAAGGGAAACCAAAAGCATATTTGAAAGCTTGTTCCTGCTTTACTGTATAAATCTTTAGGAGCTTGAATTGGTTCTTTATCGTAAAGTGTGTCCCATGGTCACAATTATCTCGTAAGTAGCTGGAAACAAGGGGCCCTTAAAGGTATGGTAAACAGTGTGAAGAAAATGATTATCATATGTGTGTTTTGGAGAAAAAAAACCCCAGAAAACGATGCTATAGCTGATATGTGATAGTAAAGAAGATTGAAGTGATTTTGAGTATTTAATAACAAATTCGTTAGGAAATAAAACTTCACACTTCAGACCCTAATAGCAGAGGCATAAACTGAAATAGAAGAACTCAAAATGTTCGAGTTACTAGTAACGGGATGGGATTGCACACAGGGATGATGAAGATTTTAATTAGTCACCCATTAAAGTTTCAGACCTCTGGCTGTCATCTAGACAAATGTTATATGAGGTGTGAAGAACACTAAAACCACAAAATTTCACTTAATGCAGAGAAGAAAGGATGGAAGGGGTGGAAGGTGAAAAATAGGAAGTTAGAAAACCTGCTTCAATATCTAACCCTCAAAAAATCTTTGAAACTTGATTGCCTTCTTGTCAACTAATGAATGCCAGGCTAGATTAAGATTATCTCCAAATTGTCTTCCAGTGCTTGACCTGAATTTCAGATCAGAACTCTAGTCTGTGAGTGATTTCTTTGAAACTATTAACTCCATTTGTCTTTAACCTACCCACTATCCTTTCTTCTGTTCTCTCTGGTTAATTTTGTTTTTTCAATTTGTCTTTTGTCTTTTATTCTTCCTGCTAATAAATGCTTTATTTGCTTTTGCCTTTTTTTTTCCCCTATGAAGAGATTTATGAATTCCAGAACTTGTGCAATTCCACAGACCGAAGCCATGGAGCTATTTATTTGTCCTGAATGTATGGACAGCATTTTATTGTTCTCGAAGAAAAAGCTAAACCATATGGAAAATTTGTACAGTGAGTATAAACACCACACTGTAAGTACAATGGTGACTATATATAAAATGCTCAAAAATATGTTATTTGGCTATTTTAAGCTTCTAGACAAGGATTTCTTATATAACACTAAAGCTTTTAAAGGAAATTGTAAAAATTAGTTTGACATTACTTTATATTTTCTCTATAATTATGTGAAATCAAATAACATTAGGTTGTATGAGTTAAGAACAATAGGTTTTAACTTAGTTCTACTTCTAGTGCTGATGTTTGATATACATACATACATATATACACACACACACACACACACACATATTTCACGCAAAGACTTGTACATGAATGTTCATTGCACTGTTATTATCCATATTAGCAAAAACAAATCAAAAAGCTGAAAGTTACCAAGTATTTATCAACTGAAAAAGTATCAAAGAAGCAAAATATATCCATGCAATGGAATACTATTCAGCAATAAAAAAGAATGAACTACTGATACCACCTACGTGGATGAGTCTAAAAGCTATTATACTAAGTAAAGGAAGATTCAGAAAACCACATAGCACATGTGGTATGTAAAGAAATTTGCTGTGACATGTCAAGAAAGTTAAATTTATAGAAAGAAATCAGTGGTCAGAGCTGAGAGTGGGAACAGGGTTTGACTATAAACAAGAGTGATAGACCTTTTGGGTAATCAGCTCTAAAATTGAACTGTGGGTGTCAGTTGTACAAATGTGTACATTTACAAAAATCATTAAGTTACACAGTTATAGTAGGCATATTTTAGCACAGGTAACTATAACTAAATTAAGCTACTAAAGAAAAACATGATGCCAATCATTTTGGTCTCACTCCATAAAACAAAGAAAGTAAATAAAACTAACCAAAGCAAAAGTATGAGTGAAGAGCAAAGTTCTGACCCCATGTGACAAATCAAGGCAGTGGCACCCACAGAATATGCAGTCTGCACCTGTTTTCACCGCTACCTGCATGTAAATCAAGTCTGTTTCCCTTTGGGCATCTTTGGCGAAATAGAGGCATTATCAAAGTTTGGTCATATTGAGCTGGAGTACACACCTTGTAAATATTTTATGTGCCAAGACTGGTGGGACTATTGATGGATTTGAGTTTTGATATATTATGAAATAAGTCAACATTTAGAAAATGCATGTAAATCAATAAACTGATATTTTCTAATGACCAAGGTCTCATGTTACTAAACCACGCATGTGCAAAAGAGCTATGCAAAGGATTTTAGTGTGACAGTAGAATGTGGCTTCAGGTGCCTTATCACAACCAGTCTTTAAGAAACTCACTGGGAAAATTTGATGTAGTATTAACGCATAGTCACAATTCTCAGAACAGACTATTAAAACTCTCCTCTTTTTTCAAGTACATATCTCTTTGAGGCCAGAGTTTTAAAATATCTGTACTTCAAAAAATATATTTGTACTTAAACAAAAACCACATAGTTCTGCAGATTCAGTGCAAAAGCTGATATGAGAATTTAGCTATCTTCTCTTAAGCTGTAAAATTAGATTTGTAAAAATGTAAACCACAGTAGTGGTGGAGCCAGAAGAAAAAAAATGTAAACCACACGTCAAATTATACCATAGATAAGTGAAAAGAGCAATCATGCTATTTAAAAAATATGTTTAAGCTATTAGACTAAATGCATATTTTTGAAGAGACACTTGCCATTCTAACAACCATAACATTTATTTCCAAAATGTCATTCATGTGTTATTATGTGTGACATTAATTCTCAGTTGTGTCCATAAGTTGTCATTTAGAGCTCCCATCCCTGTCCTCAAGTACCGTCTGTCCCACAGGCCAGGAGAAGGGTCTGGGCTGAATTTAGATAGTACCTCTGGGTTTTTTCATTCTGATTATGTAAAAAGGTGGAAGTGGGAACCGGATGGAATTTAGCTATTATAATTGGCAAATTAGTTTTCAGAAAAAGTGTAACCCTTTATTCTGATGCACAGGCTCATCTTGATTTCAACATGAAACACTAAAAGCCCTTCAAGTCGAAGAAGAAAATAATTTAGTTCCACTTAAAATGTTTTTGTCATATAGATGGGCTGGCAAATGTTGCCAGAAATTCTTTTTGTAAAAGCTGGGCTTGGTGGCACACACCTATAATCCCAGCACAAGGATCACTGTGAGTTCGAGACAGGCCTGGGCTACATAGTGAGTTCCAGGTCAGTCTCAACTACATAGTGAGACCCTGTCTCAAAAAACCACACACACAAAAAAAAAAGAAAAAAAAAAAAGAAATTCTTTTTCTAGTCACTAACACTAACAATTCAGACTAATACATTTGACCTTTTTTTTCAGGTGAGTCAATTTTTAAATAATGTAGCATATAGAATTTACTGATTTAAAATGTATATTCATGATTACTTCAGATTAGAAAAATGTCTAATTTTGTACTGTAGTTTCTCGAGTTAGTATCTTTTTCTTTTTGAGCAAAAACATATACTTCTTCAAAAGTAAATGACATATTAAATTGTTATTGGGCATTTGATTCAGTGACTGACTACATCATCAAAAATTTGTTTTCTATTTCTTTCAACCAAGTTTTAATAAATAATTTTAATGCATAGGAGAAAAAAGAGACTCCTTAATGCTAACCCAAAAGAAAGAAAAATACCTAATTAAAAATATGTTTAGGTGATAGGGAAATAAACTCTACAATGCTGTTTGAGAGTGCAAGATAATAGAACTATTAAGGAGGCAATTTGGCAGTATCTGTGAAAAACACATAGTAAACCTTGGATGCAGGAATTCTATGTATGGGAATTCTTCACATATCTATCCTCATATTTAAAAATGTGACATACACATACGTATATAATCATAGTGTGGCCTGTAAAAACAAAAGATTAGTACAACTGATTATATAAGCCATGAAACCCTCATATATTGGGATTCTATGAAACTGTAAAAAAAATCCAGTGAATTATTGGTACTCAAAGATCTCTGGGGTATACTGACAGATGAGAAAACCAAGATGCAGAAATAGGGGAGATAATGAGAATATATATTTGGATTTGCCTTTTTCCTGGTGCTGGGGATTGAGTCCAGGGTTTCAAACTTACCAGACAAGTGTTCTATCACTAAATTATACTCCTAGCCCCAGATTTTCTTATATTGGTATAAAGAAACAGTGCAAAGATAAAGAAAAATCTCATAAAGGTGATTCCTGTGGAGAAACTGGGTGGTCAGGGCCTAGTGTAGGGTGGTACTTCTCAATATATATCATTGTGTCTTTTCTTGATTTTTGTTCCATGGGAATGTATTCCGATTTGAGGAGGAATGTTCTGATTTATTGAGTGCCAAAGTCAATATGCGGACAAGGCTATGCACAGCTAGTGTAGGAACCGCCTCTGCAGCGGCAGGTCTTCAGTAGAAAGAGGTAGTCTGAACGGAACGGGGGATGGATCAAAAATCACAGACTGTAAACAGTGATCAAACGCCATCTACTAAACCCTAAGGTGCTTACTCTTCTCCATTCATTCGTTTATCCCAAACCTCAGTCCTAGTCCAGCATTCTCTTCTTGGCCATATCCACAAAACAACTAAGTGTTTATCCCTTCCCAAGAATTCATTAGCGTCACTAGAAAAAAAAAAAAAAATCAAAACCACAGGAGAAGCTGCCTCTGTTACAGCAGCCGGCAAAGAGAGCGCTAGTTTCGATGAGTGCTTCTTTAAAATGACAAGTATCACAGTATTTATAAACATCTGGTTCTTCAAGGTTCTTTCACATAGGTGTAACTACAGACGTTGACTTCTCTCATTCTGCGTCTATGGTCTCTTCTCTCCTTTCTCATGTATGTCAGAGGTCTGCTGTGTCCTGGCTGAACTATGAGTCTCTGAGCGGTGAGTCCCTTTGATGGAGAGCTCCATTGTTACCCAACTCTGCTTTTCTCCTTTCCTCTTCTGTAGCTCTCCCTTCCTTCACCTCAACATCTACACACACAGATTAAAAATGGAACACAAACTGTCTTAGTCTGTCCCTACCTTTTCCTTTGTGTCATGGCCTTCCTTCCATTATTAAAAAAAAGTCTAATCCTTTTAATGTAGATAGGAAAAAAATTCACCCATTTTTAGCTGTAACTATGTAATTTCATTGTTCTATCCAAAGAAATAAAAAGCTTAATGATTCTTTAATAAAATAATGTCAAGTGATGTTTTTTATCAAGTTGACCCAGAGGAGTAATTATTTTTAGTATGAAATTTCCTTAAAATAAATGGAAAGTTGATCTTAACCTTCTTTTCCTTCTTCTTAACTGAAACATGATTGGCTACCCAAAAATCTAGCCATCTAGTTTAATATTACTCTTAAGAACTTAAAAGGCAATGTAATAGACACACCTAAGCAAATGATAAGGAATTTAAAACGTATTCAATTTTGATCATAAAATGGGGATTTGCCCAACAGATTTCAAAGGTAGTCCCCAATGGGACCATAATATTTGCTAACATAAATGGGGAAGACATAGCAATAGACCGTGGTTGTGTTAGCTGATGACAGCTGTTCCATTGAGAATAGGTCTCCTTTGTGTCATTATACCCAATGCAACCCTGAGAGATGTGTTCTTTAGTATTTGTTTTTTTCTTAAAAAGATAATGACTTGAGAGAGTAAGTGATTTATTCAAGATTAACAATAAAACAGTTTTTATAAAGAAAACTTTTTTTTTTGTAACGGGGATCGAACTTGGGTCCCTGTGCTTGCAAGGCAAGTGGTGGAACCACTGAGCTAAATCCCCAGCCCAAGAAAACATTTTGGGGTATGACCATTTACTTTTTGGGTTTGGGCACAAACCATTTAAAAATATTAAAAGTAATGAGGCCTTCCCCACATTTTTTAGGTTCACATCTTGAGCTGTGGCTCACCATGGGACAAAAAGGAGCCAGAGGAGAGAAGGGATAGAAGACAGGGCAGGCAGGTTGCTGTGGTGCCCACGGGTTGACAAACTTTTTCTGTAAATGGTAAGATAGTCAATGGTTTTAAGCTCTTTGGTCCCCATGGCGCCTGTTGAAACTACTCACGAACACTGCCACAGAAAATATTTAAGTGATGGGTATGGCTGTGTCCCAGTAAAACTTTATTTACAGGAAGAGATGGTGGGACAGATTGGACTCATTCACAGTAGCTTGGGCCAGAGAATCAGATAGGAGAAGGTAGAAGTGGTGAGCACCCTGAAAAACTGGGCCCAAATGAGCGCCTTAGTGAACAGTACTGCTCCTTTGGACTTGATCTTAGCCATAAGGCAGAGAGAGGAACGACAACACTGCTCCTTTGGGATTTTCTTTAGCCTAGCACTGGAGGCAATTTTGAAGTCACTCCATACGAATCAGTGAAAATACTGCAGTTGAAGTCAAGTATTTCCCTGGAATAAGAAGCAGGAAAAGCTTCAGTGGTCACCCAACTTTAAACTCCTATTCATCACATTGCAAAAGTGGTCAGATAGTTCACAGAGTTCTGAATGCCAGTGAGTATGTGGCCAGCAGTGTTGATGAATAAAATCTCATTTTTTAGGGTGCCGTGATGCAAATTTTCCTGGTGATACTAAGAGGAATTTGTCTTTTAGGTCTGCTTTCATTCATTACAATTAGGTACATTTCTACCACCAACCTTCCATATGCTGCCGATCCTGTGGAAGGTATAATAGTGTGGTAACCAGATTACAACTCAGCCTGGAAGTGTTAGCTAGCAACTCGCACACCCAAGATAATGGCGCTTCGCAGGACATAACCTCAGAGAATGCCTGAGAAACTTCGCAAACCCAACGTTGACTTTCAGAAAATTTATCATCGGTAATCAGGGCTTCTTAAACAGTATTTCGTGGTGCATTAGAGCTTTAAAGTAAATGGCCATTTATAATAGCAGTGGAAAATGCTGGTACCTAATTTTATTCTTGTGTCTCTTGAGATTAATTTGATTGATTTTGCTTTAGCCATATATATTACTCTGAGAGGAGAGATGACAGTTTGTTTTTAAAGGAAATATTTATAGGTGTTTAACATTAAAAATAGTATTTATTTGTGTTCTTTGGTCTCTAAAAGTTTAATGAAATAGTTGAGTATCAAACTGCCCTAGTGTTCAGCTCGTTGTATTGAATAATTAATTAATTAATTAATTAATTTTTACTGGGGATTGAACGCTGTTCTTTGTGCTTGCGAAGCAAGCAGCAGAACCAATGGGCTAAATCCCCAGCCCTTGAATATTTGTTTATATCCTTGAAGAATATGAGCAGCTGGAAGGCATGACTGTCCTAGATTTCTCTGCTTTTTTATTAGATGCTTAGATGCTGTGTGAGTTCACTCAGAAATTAACCATATGGTGACAGATAATAGAGTTTTTCTTGAAAGTCAAATAAATTTATAATGGACAAAGTTTGACTCTAGGCACACAGGTCTTTGGAGCTTTTTGAATTAGAAAAGAATTCAGTTTAGGAAATTCTGCCTAGTTCCTATTTCTGTACCATGTCAAGATATAGTTCTCCAAAATTTATAAATAAAATGCAAAAGAATTATTGTAATGAATAGTAGTAAAGGTATATATTTAGTAGACAACTATCTGTGCAGTAGAAATGTCTATACCCGCAAGCACAAAAAGATGCATATGAGGCAGTCCAGAGATGCACCATAATTATTTGAAACTAATCATCACCAACATAAACATAATCATTTGAAACTAGAAACTATTTCAATGCCCACCTGCAGTAGGATGGGTAAACCTGACCTAGTCATAGCTGGAAGTAGTACACATTAATGAGAAAAAATGAACTACAGCCAAGCACAGTAGGGATAACGCTCTGAAACATGATGCTGAGTGAAAGAAGCCAGACACAAAATTATACATGTTATATATTTCCCTATATATGAAGCACAAAAATAGACAATATGCTGTTAGAATTCAGGGAAGTGGGTACCTTAGAGGCTACAGTAGTGATGGGGGCTGCTGGGAGCTGATAAGGTTCTGTTCTTTGGCCATGGTGACGTGTGTGTTCATTTTGAGAAAATTCATTGAGCTGACCCTCGGCACGTTTTTCTGTATCTATACTATGATGCAGTGTTTGAAAGTACCGTGGCTCTGAAATAATGTACCATTAGCCTGATTTTCATAGGTTTAGCTTCTATTAGCAAATATCATTTGTGGAGGCAATGGAAATACACAGGAAAGTACCACATCTATGACCTGAATGACACCATTTTAAGAGAGGAACTGGTGTACTTCAGACATTTTTGCTTTGTGAAACTAAGGCTTAGGATTTTCTTCAAACTGAAAGTTCACAGTGGCCCTAGGCTTTTTTCTTTTTCTTTTTGATACATTCTTCAGAATTGCTTTATTTGATATAAAACTCACATGGAACAAGGTACAATATTCTATTCAATGTTTGGCAAGTAAATGTATGTCTGTTACCTTTCATATTTTGATGGATAAGGACATGGGACATTTTGAACATTTTGTTTTCTTCATTTGTTGCCTTTAAAGTTAGGAATAAATAATCAAGTTCTTTATGAAATACATTTAGTGGGACTGTTTCATGCATATCTTTAGACAATGAGGATTTTTCTCCTGTCATTCATGGCAGCATGGATGGAGCTGGAGACAATATGTAAGTGCAGTAAGTCTGGCACATAAAAACCAAAAGCGCATGGTTTCTCTCCCATGTGATCTCCCTGAAAATCACGGAGAAAAGTGTGGATACCAGAGCCTGGGAATATGTGTGTCAAAGTGGGAGGAAGAAAAGATGGTCAATGGCTAGAGGGGTGCAGCTGGAAAGGAAGAATAACTCCTAATGTTCTACTGCACAAGAGAATACCCTAACAGCAATTAATTGACTTTTTCAAAGTAGCTAGTTAGACAGGATTTCGAATGTTCCCAACACAATGATAAATGCTTGAGGTAATGTTTATGCCCTTTTCTCACCTCACACTGTGCACATGAATTGAAATGTCATGCTGCACCCTGTAAATATGTACAATTATTATTTGTCACTGTAAAATAAAAATATTTTCTTAAATTGAGAATTTCTGGTTTCTTTCTGATGACCAGTTTAGATATATAGCAAATGTCAGGAGTTATGTTTCTGTATTTTCCTTTTAATTTCTTTGCATCTAGTAAACCCCTGAGGAAGAAGGTCCAGAAATGCAATGCTTAGCATTATCAATAAAGCCTGATATTTTTACCCTACAGAAGCCATGGGCCAGCCATAGCATTCATTTTTGTGTACAATGTTCAGAGACAAATCGCTTAGCTTTTTGAGTGACAAATGAGTAAGATTTCAGTCTGCCAAAAGGTATTCCTCTAAGCAGATACATATATCTAGGCAATCGGTCCATCAAAAAACTCAGCCTTTCCTCTCAGTTTATTTAGTTACATTTCTGGGGTCTTCTTTCAGGTATCTAACACGAGGAGTTCAGGATACCAAAATCCTGTTTACAAGATGTTCCAAAGCAATGTGCAAGACTTACCCCATACACACTATTTCGGGGAACTGTGCTTGCATTATACACAGTTTCCTTTAGAACTGTTACTTTTGTCCTAAATAAAGAACCAAAAGACTGAGAGTGCTGAGGGTGTAGATCAGTAGCAGATTGCTTGCCTAGCATTCACAAAGTTCTCGAATCAATTCTCAGCACAGGGTAGGGGGTGGGGGGAGCTGTTGGAGAAAAGGAAATGATTTTAATCCCTGAACGGTCTTGGAAAACGTATTTCTGTGCAAATGAGGCTATGCAGGCATCATGAAGTACACGGAAGAGAAGAGTATTGCAGCTTAGTTAATAGCACGTCCTCCACCATCAGACTACATCCGAATCCTGGCTGTCCTACTTGCAGGCTGTGTGATCTTGAGAAAATTATTCAAACACTCCATGCTTCAGGTTATTCATGTACAAATGTAGGCATCAGCGGCATATCTTAAGTTTGTTGTGAGGACTGCATGAGTTTGCCTGGCATTGGGTAAACTCTAAGTTTTAGCATATGTCATTTGCATGACGATTATTGGCATACACAGCATCTTTTAAGAGTACGTATGTTTCCTTCACTAGTTTAGAAAATGCCTCTCAACATAGTAGCTAGAATGTTCTTGGTGAAATGTAAACCTGGTCATGTCACTCACCTGCATGCAACTTTCCCAAACTTTCTATTTCATTCAAAGGAAAAAGCCAAAGTCTTTACAAGGATGATCATCATTTTTTCCTGCTTTGTTCAAGACAGCCTGGATTTGCCAGTACCAAGCTGTTTTTATCACAGTGGCTTTGTAGTATAGTTTCAAATTGGGAATTGTTATACAGCCATAAAGAATGAGAAATTAGAGTCATTCTTAGGAAAATGGATACATATTGAGGATATACTCCTAAGTGAGTCACACATGTATAAATACTGAATAATTTCTCTGGTGTGAAAAACTATAATGGTACATAAGATCCTAATGGTATAATTGACAATGTGTAATAGAAAGAAAAGGGCTAAAGGTGTAGGGGAAGTGGGAAGGGTAGGAGAAAGGAAATAAGGGAAAAGAAAAAAAAAACATGAGAAAATGAAAAAATGGAAATAAAGTGTTAGTAAATAGGGAAGGGAGGAGGGGTGAAGGGAGGGCAGGGGTAAGGGGAATAAATGAGAACCAAGGCCTGTCATATAAAGGTACAAGATCCCAACAATGAATGTGTCTATACTGTATACCTGAAATAAACTCAATGAGAAAAAACAAAAGACAGCCCTGATTTACACCAACTTTTTACGTGTAATTATTGTTAGTGTTGCCTCCTTTAACTTTAAAAAGTTCTGTCAGGGTAATAAAATATATAGTCAGGCTTTAGGTGCTCTGCCTTCCCACTACTCTTGCATAGCCCTGCGACCTTATCTGCTACTACTCTCCCTTCCACTAAGCCATTAGGGCCTCCTTGCTGTTCCTGTACCTCTCTAGGTACTGTCCTGTTCGGGGCCTTTGCCCTTGTTGCTTCCTCTAACTGGAACTCTC